CCACGCCTGGGAGGGTCGTGCCTCAGCGGGGCCCCCACTGTTCCCCCCGTCGCCCACTCTCGGGGCCTCGGCGCCCCCTCCTCTGGGCGCCCGCGCTCCGGTCAGCGTCTCCCGCACGCTCCGGGTGCCCTGCCCACTCTGGGGTCCTCCCACCCTCGCCCCAGAACACCCTGCCACACCTGGAGCCTGACCTGCAGACCCCGCTCTGCCCTGCCCTGACCTGTGCCCTGTCCGACATGCCCACCCTGTCCTGCTGGTCTGACCCCGCCCTGACCTGTGCCCTGACCTGTGCCCTGTCCGCCCTGCCCATCTGACCCCGCCCTGCCCTCTGACCGCCCCAGAGCCCGCCCTGAAGAAGCGCGTCCGCGTGCACCTGCTCAACGCCCACGGCCTGGACGAGGCGGGCATCGACGGGGGCGGCGTCTTCCGTGAGTTCCTCAACGAACTGCTCAAGTCGGGCTTCAACCCCAACCAGGGGTTCTTCAAGACCACCCACGAAGGTCTGCTGTACCCCAACCCGGCTGCCCAGATGCTTGTGGGGGACTCCTTCGCCAGACATTACTACTTCCTGGGCAGGATGCTCGGAAAGGTGCGGCGGCCTCGGGGCTCCGGGGGGGCCCTCTGGGGGCGGAAGCTGCTGGGAGGGCGCTGCGCCCCAGAGCCCACACTGGGGGCTCGCCAAGCCCCTGGACGGGCCTGGCCTTGGCGGGACCGCCGGAAGCGCCATGGCCGTGGGGGCTCCCAGGCTGTGGCGACCTGGGCGCTCGGGTGAGTGTGGGGCAGCGGCACCCAGTCACATCTGTCCCCAAAAGCACAATTTTGGGAACCGCATCTGTGGCACTTGCAAAGGATTGTCACATGCAGTGCCAGGCTTGTGGCCACCGGTGGGGGTGCCCTGCGTGGACAGCCGTTCTCCTTCGTGGGCCCCGGCGTGGTTGCTGGCGTGCGGTGGCCTGCTCGCAGAGGGGTGCGGTATCCCTCCACACCCCACAGCCCACCAGACCGTGACTGGTGTCAGCGTCCCCGCCAGGCGCGTCCTTTCCCATTCTGACCACGCTGTGGCCTGTGGGGCTCTGGCCTCGAGCTGTGGCCGCCGCCCTTGGGGAGGCCTGGCCCGGCCGCACGAGCTGCCCTGCTCCCCCGGGCGCCCCAGGACCC